GTGTTGTTTTGTGGCGTGAAATAGTGTACGACTCGGACACGACTTTGATCCCAAAGAACACTTCTGTGGAAGTGGCGAGAGTTCCAGTGACTGGCAATCATAAGAAGTCATGGTATGTCGCGCCGTATGTCACATGCATTTTGATTGGTATTAATGTTTGCTTTGTCTCCATATAGGGATCGACTCGACAATCATAACACAAAAGGAGTACGAAATGTATTTTTGTTGTCCAACTCTTTAATAGAGTATTATTGCCGTCAAATCGATATTTATATGTATTTTTGAATCTATTTCAGGCCAATAGTCCGAGTCATCTAGAAGTGGAAAAAATTACAAAAGTAGTACATTTTCATTGTCTTTAGTTTTGAAGAAACTCTTATTGATTTGATTTGTATTTTTCGCATTGAATTAGTCGTCAAACATATCGACGTCTTATTCGACAGAAGACGAGAAAATAAAAGCAATGATGTCTCAGAGCACTCAGGAGTACGACGTCTCGAAATATGTGAAAAACAGGGGCCCTATAGGGCCGTTGCCCGCCAACTATACGTGCTATCGGTGCGGACAACCCGGACATTACATCAAACAGTGTCCCACGAATAATGTATGCAATTATTTCTACGAGTTTTCATACGTTTAGCTCTTCTAATGAGTATTTGTTTCTCTCTATAGACTGATGTTAAGCGAAGCACTGGTATTCCCCGGAGTTTTATGATTCCGGCAAATGCTGACCAAAAGGGTGCTCTACTGACAGCATCATACGTTTAGCTCTTCTAATGAGTATTTGTTTCTCTCTATAGACTGATGTTAAGCGAAGCACTGGTATTCCCCGGAGTTTTATGATTCCGGCAAATGCTGACCAAAAGGGTGCTCTACTGACAGCCAGTGGTGATTATGCCGTTCCTATTATCGATCAGTAAGCGTTAAATTAATGGATTTTTTTGGTTGAATTATGAGATGTAATTGAATTTTGTATTTTGTTTGCCATTCAAGTCAAGCGTATAAAGAGGTGAAGAAAGAGAAGCCGCCGTTTATGCCGATCGTTGAGTCGGAGGCCTCGGAGTCGACCCAAGAGATCCCCGAAGACCTGAAGTGTACGCTGTGTCAGGACGTGCTTCTGGACGCTGTGCTCACTCCCTGTTGTGTAAACAGTTGTTGTGATGAATGTATGAATTTGTTTCGTAATAATAAAAAATCTTTTCTCGACACCTCTCAAAAAATGCATATGATTTGCAAAATTGTTTCACATATTTATGTAAAACTCGAAAAAATCACTTTTATTGTAATGTGTAATTCTTTTTGAATGTTTTTATTCAATGAATTGATATGTTTATACTGTATACGAGAACTTTGTAAAGCATTTAATGTTGAAATTGATTGAAATGATAATTTTTATAATGAATTTATTTGTCCCGAAAAGGTATCCGAAACGCTCTGCTGGAGAGCGACGGTCACGAGTGCCCGACCTGTCATGAAATGAATGTATCGCCCGATCAACTCATACC